TGTACCAATTAACTTGCAAGATGCCCTCAGATTATTCTTACATTGGTCAAAGTGCTGAGAAAAATAGGTCTTATTACTCACACTTTTAAGCCAGTTTAGTTTATTAGCAAACTTTTTATATTTCGCCACTTTATCCAGATTATTAGAAAGAAAATGTGTTTTATACATATTGTGTTTAGTTTTGATTGATTTTAAAATGCCATTTGTTATCCAGGGCTTAGTAGATAATTCTTGTTTCCATCTGGTCATACGTCGAATAGGTGCATGTCTATTCGTGATTGATTTGAGAAGATCAATTGTTTTAGATGTGATCTCATGCAAGTCTACACATTCACTTTTGATAGCATTCCAGTTGATTGCATTGATATCCTGAAGATGAGATTCCTGATTGAAATTGGAATAGTCTCTATAGCATCTATCTAGGTTTTGCCTTTTTTTAACTGGTATATCTACAATACAAATGAGTGGAAGGTGGTCTGAGATATCAACAGTTAAAATCCCTGAGAAAACATTTCTTGAGCTATTGGTGTAAATATGATCAATTAGTGTAGCAGTGTGGTAAGTTAGTCGTGTTGGTTTTGTTACTACAGGTAATAGATTATTAGAGTACAACATGACAAGATAAGCTTCTGTAGGGCATGAGTATTACATTTAAAGAAATCTATATTCACATCACCAAGGATATATAATTGGTATTTATTAGCGTTGAATTGTTTAGTTGTCTCATTAAATTTATCTTTAAATTCTTCGATGTTTGCTCCAAGGCGTTTATAGATACAGCCAATTAAGGTGGGCTTTTTGTTAGAAGACTGAGCTATTTCAACCCAGACAGATTCTACTAGGGGGATATCCAGAGTAATATCAGGCCTTGGGACTGATTTTAGAGATTTGCGAATATAAAGGGCTGCCCCTCTTGCGGAGGTTGGAGAATCATTATGGGAGATCCTATAGCTGGGTAGTTCGATGTTAACTATATTATTCTTATTCAGCCTAGTTTCTGTGATTCCTATGATATCTGGTCCTGTATTTAAGGAACATAGGAGATCCTCAAGTAGATTTAAATTTTTAGGTAAGCTTCTGATATTACAGTGAAGGGATGAAATAGTATTTTTGCCCGATTTGCTTAGGACTGTATTTAAACTAGGAATATCATAGTAGTGAGATTCAGGACTAATTAGCATATGACCAGGGTCAACTTCATCAAATTCATCAGGATTAGGTAATATGTTGTATGAGTCAAGGTCTTTCAAATTTTGAAGTTGTAAATAACTTGATCCTGTTAGAATATGAAACTCTGTATCATTTAAGCTAAAAAAGGGGTAATGCTTGAAGGTTATTGTGAGTCATCATAGTCAATATCTGAGTGAGTTGTAAATAGCTTGATCCTGTTAGAATATGAAACTCTGTATCATTTAAGCTAAAAAAGGGGTAATGCTTGAAGG